AATGTCTGACTCACATCATGCAAAATGCGGTCATATTAATTTTTCATGATAGGTTCTACCAACTGGGCCATCTCTGAAGCCCAGATTCGCGAAGCTTCTGAATACAACCTCTCATCATTTATATGTTTCACGACAACCTTCACTTGAGCAGTAATATGTTCTAATAAATTCTAACTGTTCAAGATCAATCATCAGCTGTCTACACCAAAGCCGATAACTAGCGTTGTAATACAAGGTAGACTTCTTGGCCCTGTTCTCTTTTTTTACAAATGACAGTTTCTATGATCAAGTACGGCAAGCTATGTCTCTTCGCGGATGATATGTAGATAGTATATGGTTTTGGGTATGATGATCTGAGCACTCAAATTAAAATCCAACACGATTTCAACAGTCCAGGCGATTGGAGCGAAAAATGACAACTGGTTTGCAGTCCAGACAAGTTTGGTACAGTCAACTTTGAACGCTGGAAACCAAGCATGTGTCTATATATACGGTGACCTCCCCTCAAACTGGAACACAGTCACAAATCTCGGAATGACACACACAGATCTGACCTTTTCTGATCATGCAAAGAAGTTAGTATCTGGCTGTTTGCGACTTACTGGCTATGCTCTGCGCAACCTTTATACCCTGGAAGTGAGATCAGCTGTATATAGGAAATTTATTCACCCCAAAATTGAATATTGTGCTCTCCTATATAGTAATCAACAGTCAGCAGACCGTAAAATTCTAAAGTGTCCAGAGATTCCTCAAGAAACACACAACGGGGTTCGACCAACGAATGGAATGCGTTAACATGTGTACATGACTAAAATTAGAACCCCTGAGGTTAAGGAGGGTGAAATGCAACTTATTTCAACTCTCCGAGGTCGCTATGAAATATTGTTGCAGTAATTCAACCATGGCGTGGCTAAATATTAAATCATGTCAGCTACGCAACCATGACTACCTCGTCGAGGTGGCTACCCACAGACAAACTTCTTCAGCATTAAATATTGCACTCTTCGGAACCAAATACCATCTGAAATAAGACCATGTGTAAAGTCAGATGGGTTCAAATGGAGCCTAGAGGCACTCATCATCACGTCCACTCTAGCTTGCCTAAAAGACCATAATTGTTGGTAGAATGGTAAACGAAAGCCAGTCTCAGTCTTCAGCGTAGTCAGTTACATGTGTTTCAGTTTTGCCAGTCACACAGAGAATGTTTAACCAATTTACTGAATTTCTATTCCCTAAAATCCTCAGCAGGTTTGGTTAGTCTTGGTACTTCTAAAAACAGTTGTGTTAGCAACCATACCTTTGAATATTTTATTTATTTGTATAATTAGTGTAATACAGTCTGCTATTTTGTGCTGAAATGACTACCTTCAGTCAACAGCTACCCACTTACACATATTTCTCTGGAATTTATAATGATAAAATATTCTGCATTATTTTTCCATAATCTTAGTTAATGAGCTACTCTGCAATGTCTAACGATGCCATATAAAAATCGGACATGAAAATTTTGCATAACAAGTTTTTCTAACCTGCTGTTTTCCTCAGGATCATTCTTTATAGCTCTGTAACTAATTGTTCCATCACTCATCTCACGCATTCAGATGGACTATAACTTAGTTACTCTAATACTAACTACCTATACATTATAATTTCTATAGGAAATTAAATTTCATATTCTTTTGTAATAATTAACTTATGCACATGTATGTATGTATAAAGATAAAACTGCTGAGAATGTCCCCATGTGTCGGTATGCCTGGTGATCTGATAGGAAGCATTTGTCGTGAAAGCTACTAGTGTGCAGTATACTGTATGACTGGGATGGGTTCAAAAGCAGTGCAATGCTTCAACTAAAGTTATTGCAGAAATTTAAGGTCTTCACATCCTTGATGGAGGAGGTGGCGCATACTGATCAGGAGATATAGTGGTGGTCGCAAGTGCGATCGGATCTGTGGGACAGAAACATGCATTTTTGAAAGCTCGAGAATTAAACATGGGTTTAGACCCTTAACACAAATAACAATAATGGTTGCACAGATCTAAATTTTCAAAAAAGTGCATTAGATCCTAACACTTAGAGGCCTGCTCAGCTTCATGTCAGGAGGCTACCTCGCGGGCCCTACATAGATTTATGAGACATTCTACAGATCAGCATGTCCTACAGGTTCCTATTTTTAAGATCTTTCAAGCCACTTCTCACTAAACTAACACGTACATACTTCGCAGTATCTTCTACCTGAACACTATTTCATTCTGTCATATCTTAAATGTCTTGGCCTTCAATGAAGCCAAAACTTGCTCTTTTCACTCTTATTCTTCGCTCCCTTAAACACACAACAACACCGATTTTTTGGAAGGGGTGCTGTTTTCATCGAGAATGCCATAGTTTGCATGTTAAGACACATTTGGTTAGCCTTATACATCTCAAATGTATATTACCGTTACAAGGACTCCATAGCTCCTTCTTGAGACTATCTTGTAGATGTACTTTAGATGATATGTTATCCTTAATTGTGTTTCATACCATTTCGCAGTTTCTCAGCATTTTCTTCTCTTCCTGAAATATCTTTTAATCACGTGTGAACATAGCACTTACACAAATATAGGCTGTTCATTGGTTAACCATAATTATCAGCCAGAAATGAACTGAAGTTTGTTTTGGCGGTCAACCTTGATGGAGACTTTAGCGAAGGGTTTACAATTTAACATATATATATGTATAGGGACCTGTTCTGAATACTTGTACTATAATTCAACCATTTAATGTTTTGAGAAAGTGCTAATTTAATGAAATTTCACAATTGTAATTTAAAACATATCTGATCAAGACTATAAAAATGACACGCATCCCATGTAAACTTATACGAAATATAAATTATTATTATTTATAAATTTAACACCTGCTCCTTTCTTTCGTATCCCCTGCCCTTAGTGTCTGCTTGTACAGAAATAAAACACCCAGTTTGATTGAAATTACACTTTTCATGTCAACCATCGTAGTTTTGATGGTAAAATGACAAGTGTTTAGCACCATACATTGCAAATTTACGATGTCGCTATAGGCGTTGTATAGTTCCTACTTGTGCATCCCTCTCATCTGCGTTTTTAATGACAAATTGCCCTACCTGTGTTTTTTCTGGAACTCTTCTTTTCCCTGAAATAGTTCTGGATCACGCGTAAATGTGGTGCGTACATAAATACTGTTTTGTAATCGGTCAAGTGCAACTACCTGTAGGAAAAGAAACCGAATCAGAGGTGCTTGCCCAACCTTGACGGTGGCTTTAACATTTGACGTTAAAGAAGCACTGTCCTGACAACTTATATCGTCAATCGACTGTTTTAGCCACTGACACATTACAAATATACAGACACTACAGAGTATGGGATTGCGTCATGTTCCACTGTACCTGTAAAAGTGGCACGCCTTTCATATAAACCAGTCTGTTCATTCGACCAGATTTCTTATTATACATGACAGTTGATGCAATTATCTTTATTTTGGCTCAGTCGGAATCCATCTGTACAAACATATCCTATGATCGTCTTAATGGGTTCTCAGTGAGTTCTTTTAGTCTGTTCTACGTCAAGATTTGTTGCACACTCCAAGATGGAGTTTTGTCACAATACAGCTGTCACCGGACACCTGTTGCAAGTGATTAAAGTCATACTTGCTATCACGAAGTTTACGGCCGCCTGACAAAGATATCACTTATGTGTCTAGCAAAAAGTCGATATTGTTGAGATATTTCGTGTGACTTTCGCCTAACCAAAACAAATATTTATCTGTAGGCTCTACTAGGACCTTCTGAGACATGTTTTAGATCATAGAAACCCCACAGCATTCAAATTCCAACGTTTATTCCGTGGCTGATGACATTACGTCAGTAATGCTGACAGAATATCCATATGTTCTTTTCTGCCCTTCAGAAACTATCATCCTCCGAAAATATATAGGAAAGCTTCTATGAGGTGATTCGGAACCAATCTCTGTAGCATGAATGTGCCATGGTAGAAATAAAAAAATTTTCGAGGCCACTCTGTTACAGACAGAACAGTGGGTGACGCAGAAAATCTCACAGTCAACTAAAATAGTGTTAAGTGACATTATTCAATAAACTGTGTTACGAAATAGAAAACTACAAATCAGATATGTCACAAGTTATTAGAAAGATCGATTACTTGAAGATTTGGTCTGGTCTAAGTACTATTAAGAAGTTGTGTGAGGCTAGCAGCCCCACCTCGTAAAAAAACCCACTGCCATTGAATCTAGAATCCCTATTTTCCACTCTGAACCTAAAAGAATACGATATGAAACAAGAGCATAACAAGTCCCTTGTCATTAAAATTGCAGGAATATTCGAGGGACAAACCACTGCATCCCAAGAGTCGTTCCGTGTTGTGTCGCTGAGTAAAAATGGTCACTGAGGCTAGACAGGGTCCTAAACACTCCTTTGCCTCTTTTCACAAGCTATATAATGGTAAATCAAAAGTTTGTTTTGTCGGTACCTCTCCTTAAGCTATTTTTTTAAGAACTGAACATATTGTGAAACATGCTGTACAAGTTTATTCTTCAACACCTTTCGGGTCAAAGTAATGCACTTAAATAGACACCGAAGTCGACAGCCTTGTGTATGCTTTGTGTGTCTCCATATAAGTTCATAGATAATCAGAAAACGAACGTTACTTAAAGTTGTGTCCATTTCGCCGACAAAGAACTGCTGGCATGGTCGCAATGATATGAAGTACAGATAATTCACGCCTCAGCAATGAGCTCAGCATATATGTAAAGACGAATTCTTATGAAGCATACAGAGGTTCGACTAAGTAGGTTCTGAATAGCACTTCGAAGATTTTGACTATCTTAAGCTAAGACCAAGCGCATAGTGCCTTGAAAATTGCCAAAATTAATATAATATGACCAGTCACTTGGCCCTACTTCTTGAACTTTTTATGAAACTGAAACATAGTGATGTAGTTTTTTGAGATCAATGTGCTGCAACATTTCAAGGTTGTTATTATACCGCCAAGAAATGACTGTTCTGTCTTGTTAATGGAGTGCATGCTCTTTTTGTGTCATGAAACAAAGGGATCAGTCTGCAAACCGTGCGGACCACTTTCTGAAGAACACCAGAAAAATTGGACACGGTATATTGACATACTATTGTCCAACTGGGAGGATAAGGGCCAAGACACTACATATTATCATAAAATAAGAACGCGTCCCTACTGCTGTACTCCAGGCCCGAATTACTCATGTCACTCATATTTTGTTAATGAACCTAAGAGGGAGCCTAAACAATTTTATGACCTTACGTAAGTTGTCTAAGCTTTGATTACCTCACAGGTGTGCCAAAAATAATTTCTTTACTCCTATCACGTGTGGGGGAACTAGTGATATTAGATGTTGTTCCGAGAAGCATTGCAATATCCCCACTTCAGAGGAACTCATGTTACTTGTTAAAGACAAGCCTTCGGATCCATATCCCGTAGCAGTCGCCCTGTTAACTATCGTCTGTATTATTCTTTGTATAGTATCTGGCACCTTTTACTTTCTGTTGAGAAGAAAATCAAGTGAGTTGCTTTGACTTTTGAAATAAAGTGTCACTGAATTTTTAGTTAAAGTTTTCTAGTTTCTGTGTTTTTTTAACAATCGAATAGATTTTCTGTAACATCTACGTTAATCTATCTCTTAGTCATTTGCTTGAAAAGATATATGAATTGAACGCTAGTTGGACAGAGTAATGACATGTTGTTAGTAAATGGCTTATTGTATATTTATATATGTATATATAGTATCAGTAGATCATCCTGATCAGACTGCAAGCTATGATCAGCTCCCTAGCCTGGTGGGGAAACACTAAACCAACTGCAACAGTCTTCCCAACCATCTTTGAATAGTTTTCACCAAACGGACTTTTTAACTGCTCTAATGTCTCCTTATATACCTGCCAGTGTATGAAAATTGGATTTCTTGTGACCCTTGCTTAGTTGTTCTATATCAACATGGTTAATAATAAGTGAAATGCTTAAGTATCTGGATGAAAAGTCTCATGACTGCAAGTTCAACCACTTACTAAATCCTACTACACAATTAGAACTATCTGTTTGACACAACAAATTGAATTAAGGTTTATCGGGAAACAACCCACTAGATAACTTGATTTCTTTTCCTAAACTTATCAAAATAGATTTTTGTCGATTATATGAGGTAGCATAGGTTTGCTTGAGTCCTCTTAGCACTTCGAGGATTTTACTGATACTAAGTACTTGAAACTAGGCCAGTTTATCATTTTATTACTAGCATGAAATTTCCCTTACATTTATTTACGGAATTCTTCGTGCAAATACTTAAAAGACTTTCTGATTTCTAATTGAGTAGTTCGACAAAAATCAATGATTGCTTCTCAGCACGGAAATACATCTGATCATTTATGGACGTCAGGTAGTATAGAGAACCATTACTTTAAAGGATCTGTGCAAGCTTCCGACACTGCAGTGGTAAACAATGCTTATCCTGGGAATATCAAACTATACTCCAGCGACCCATGTGCTGTTTCTGCTGGTATAAGTAGTCGCGGTACCAGTAGTTTGAGTCATTTTGGTGGCAACGTCGTAGGAGCTGCCCTCGGAAATATCAATTCTTGTTCCAGCTCACCAACTGGTGCTTTGGCTATTACTAGTACATGGTCAAATTCTGCTATGCCTACTACCAGTACTATTCCTGCAGACTTGCTCGATCAAACGTGTAGTGGATCAGGTTCAGGAAAGCCGTTACTTGTACAGAGAACAGTCGCTCGTCAGGTTCAGTTAGAGGAACGTATTGGTGAAGGTCGATATGGTGTTGTATGGCGAGGTGTTTGGCAAGGTGATCAAGTGGCAGCCAAGATATTTTCTAGCAGAGACGAGCGATCATGGTTCCGGTAAGTTCGTGTTGCTTCCCCTCATAATGTCTATTAGATAAGTGTAATATTTAATTGTGTAGTTTATTATAAAACTGCTTAGAATAATTCCAGCATGTTTAGAAAATCAAAATAAATTGTCCCAGTAAATGCGTAACATATGTGGTTTAGATGTTGAAAAGTAGATGGTTTAAGTACACTTAGTCTCAGCACCTAGCATGTCAAATTAGATTCCGAATTGTTAGTGCCATTTTTCATTGTTGTTCACATTATTAGCACAGTGATCCTAAAATTTGTTTCATGGCATCTGAAGTCAAAGCACATTTCGCCTCACTGTACAGCTGCCTCGCATCACTAAGTTTATCTACTGCAATGTACAGAGTTGATGTTTTTGAGTATTAAAAATGTATACTGAATACCGTTTGGGATCCCATTCGTCTATGTTCATTTAGTGCAACCAATAACGTACTTGGTCTTCATTTCTAAAAAATTAAAATTGTTCCTATACCTAAATCGCCGAGTAGACCAAGTGTTAAGTTTAGACATGTTACCTCACCATTTCTAGAAATAGTGGAAAAACTGCTTTTACTTAACCTTGGATCTTCATTTTAAGTTTTTAATGATCCTAAACAATTTGCTTATAAACTTGATAGGTAAACTTTACATGCCATTGTCGTCTAACATCATGATATTGTGTTCAGTTTAGCTAGAGGTGCTGAGTGTGATCGATGTACCTTCCTTGATTACAAGGCTGTTTCTTATTCTGTACCTAGGCCTCTTTTGTTAAATAAGATTGCTGCGACACAAGAAGGTTGCTGGGTTAATAAATTGTTACACTCTTCTGATAGGAGCCAGTACACTGTAAATAGTGGGAAGTCTTCCACTGTTTTACTGAATAGCTGGTGTTCCTCAAGGTGCCGTTCTTCCTCCTTTTCCGTTTTCATCTTGTATGACTCGTCTCATTCTGATGAAGCCGATGTCGTTACGTATGCCGATAATCTGTGTCCATACCGATTACTTTGTAATCAGATCGTTACAAAATGAAAAACCGTTTACTAGAAATTAGTCAGTGGTCTTTGTTGAATGGTCTTAGACTAAATCCCTCCAAATGGCGGGTTGTTAATTTCGCTTCAGAAACAAGTGCAAATTACACGAACTGGTTCTCTCTTATAATTATTGTATCATAGAAGTTACTGAAGTGGAAACTAAGTTGAATGTTAAATGTCTTGGGGGTGTCAATCTCCTGATTTGTCATGGTCTTCCCAAATCATGTTAGTTTCTATGATGATACTTCGTTTAATGTTTAAGACAATCTGGCATCACTCAGTCTCTACTTTATAAGTTTGTTAATTCATGTGTGCTGTCCCTTGGTCGTTCTTGACTTATCTAAGAAAGACTTTATTACACTGCAAAGACCACTAAAAGCTGTTAGTAGGGCTAGCGGGTGTCAATATGCCAACTTGTTAATGCTATTGTAGATAGATACATGAATTCATACAAGAAATTGACGTATATTATCTTATCGGACCCTAAATATTCTCTTTATACACAACTCCCTTCTTGCATCTCATCAGGTAGGACTAAGTGCAACTATAGAAGACTTTATGCTCGGACGACTAAGTATAAAACTACAATACCTTATTTAGTGCCCATTTTATGTGGTGAGAAAAGTGTAAGGTATGACACTACTAATTTTCTGAGAAACATTAAGTTAACAAAACTTTCTATTCTCTTTCATGAATATATTGTAGTTAATATTTCCACCTAAATTTTAACTTTATGTTTATATAATTGAACAGTATTATCAATGTAAATGCCCCTTGTACTGTATAAAGAGAAAATTAGATGTAATACTATACTGTATGCTGAAAATCCACATTGTATCAAAAGTAATGTTTAGAATAAAACCATTATTATTATGTGTTTATTGTTCAAAAAAATTGTTAGAGCCAATGGTTTATTTTTAACGTTGATGTGATTGGTAGCTTGCCTTGGTTTAAATTTTTCAAAAACTTAATAAATTCCATTAAAAGAGCACATTATTGTAATCACTTGGTGGTTACTTCAAATATATATGCACTACAGTAACAAAGAGTGAACAAGGATTAACTGCCGTCATAAATGCTTTTATTTCATATCACAAGAGGCTATGAAGAATAAACTGAATAGTACTCAAAAATTATATCACCATTAACTGCTGCCAAAGAGAACTAATCAAAAATTGCCATTGACTAGGGATGCCAATCCAAGTTGTGGTGTAGCGTTTGAATAAAAAGTAAAAATACATTGAAGAGGTTTCATCGACTTTTGGAGATGTCTAGCTGCTCGGCACTTGTTCTAATGATGAGTGAGACGTTTTTATTGAGATTAATTTCACGGTTAGAGAAAGGGTCCTCTTAAACTAACTTAAGATATCATTTAGTATGGGGAACCAAAGTTACTTAGGTTGAATAAATTACTGATGGAAAGCATAGAAGCTTAGGCAATTTACTCTGACATCATTGTTTAACTAGGTGGTAACCGAATTTTTGGAGTTATAACCTGCTTAAGTAAATGTTGCCAATGTGATACCTGTATATATATGCAACCAATAATCATTCAATATGTAACAAAAATATGTTAGTAAGTAAATAATCAAGAAAGTTTTCGCCATGTTCCAAAACTAATATGCTCACCAGCTCTTGGTTATAGTCATTCACCTTTGTGTAAAAACAGCTATTGTGCACCAGTTATAAAAACGGTTTGTAAAAGTTACTGTTTATCACGGGAGGCACTTGCCAAAATAAGGTAATTTACAAATATAGTCTTCACAAGAGGACAAGATTATAGCTATAGACTACACTTAGAATTAATACTTCAGCATGAATGTGTACGGATAAATGGTTCACAAAATAATCTAGTACTCTGATTGCTTGGAAACGGAGTCACATTTATATGCTTTGAGGCCTAGAAAATCCTAATGTAAATACTCGTCGTAAGCAGCATACACAATAAGTCTTTTCTTAGAAAACTACTGTAAGACTTTTGAGCATTTGTTTCTTGTGGTTAGAAGTTATTAGTATATCCAATGATGTAATTAGCGATGTAGTTCGTTTTCAATGTTCATCTCAGTTCATAGAAGACGTTTTACCGTGATAATCACAGTGAGTATAAACTTGACTAACGTTGTATCTAAGATTTTAGGGCTTCTGGAGAAACAAACCCGAAATAAACAGGCAGACTTTGGAACACAAATGTACTAATGTTTGACACTTACTATATTCATTTACTTGGAGGAGGCATTTAGTTCTGTCTATTGACAAGAGTGACTGAGAACAAGGTGGTGAGGAAATGTATTGTTTACTGATGTATCACTCAAAATGTTGAAATATTACTACTACACTATCTGCAGCCTGAGTTGAACGTGTTCATTGTATTATGATAATCGTGTTTAATGTATTACATTAAGGGTCTATCACTACTGCCAAACAGCATGTATAAGTTTTCTGGTCTTTTACGTTCTAGAGTGTATTAATTTAGCTGCATAATAATTCGAAGTGCTTTATTATTCTAGGGAAACGGACATTTATCAAACAGTGATGCTGCGTCATGCAAACATTCTGGGTTTTATTGCAGCGGACAATAAGGATACTGGATTGTCAACTCAGTTATGGCTTATAACGGACTATCATCCTCTGGGATCATTATACGAATTTTTACAGCAGCATTGCCTTCTACCATCTGCGCTTGTGCGTGCTGTCGCCTCTATCACTAATGGCTTAGCACATTTACATATGGAGATCACTGGGACCCAGGTGAGCATTTACTATACTAGTTGATTGATATGATTATGAGCAATAAATTGTTTTCGAAATATCATCCAGTAAATAATACTGTTTCATCGTGTGATATATCTAATAAACAAGTGATTGTAGAATTACATACTACCGCAGTGCCAAAGTTTTACACATATTTATCTGAGCATTTACTTTGTTTCGCATCATTCATTACAATAGATTATGGCTTATGTGTATTATTTATTTCATTAACCAGTATTCCATGTAAACAGATGGAATTTTCGGGTTGTGATTATTAGAAATAAAAGGTAGAATTCATGTATATTGGCTTTTACGACTACATCTGTTGATTTATGTTCATTTTGGATGACTGGGTAGTTTCGGTTTAATAGTCAGTTGTGTGACTATGACAGGTAACAGGTTAATTCAGTTTCAAATTTATTATTTCATCAATGTAATTCTAAATTTAATCTCAATGTGAATTAAAAACAAGAGATTTTAAAACTGGACATTCAATCACTAATAGTGACGGTAAAGTGAAGGAGAGGTAACCTTTAAGTGTTCTACCTCTAGATTAAACAAGGTTTTGTTACTGAAGTGGTGATATATTGGTGGATTCGTATACATCAACTTTAGGCTGATAGCTAGATTTTCAGAATAACATGTGATCTGACACTGCTGCCAGCATTGCTAATTCATCTTTCTCATAATGTAAAATTAGAAGACTGGTTATATAGCGAAAAAATCTACTGAATTCCAAACAGTTGGGCTGCTAGGTCAGATATATTACAGAAAAGAGCTACCATAGTGTTCGAACCCTATGCTTACACTAAATTAACATATATATATAAATATATGTATGTATTATTCCCTTGGGTTCCTAGTAGAACATAGGGCTTCAACAGCATATTTCTACTTTGTCCTGTTTTCTGCAATCCTCTTTAACTGGCCCCACGATTACTCATAGGTTCTCATCTCCTCACACGATTCCCTACATGTCATCCTCAGACATCCAACCCTCTGTTTCCCAGTCGGGTTCCACTTAAGGGCGTGACTGGCGTATGGTATCACTCATCGGTCCTCTCAGCATGTGTCCTATCCATCTCCATTTTCTTTGGTGTATTTGTTGAGCGATAGATTCCTAATTGATTCGTTCCGAGTTTGTTGTTGTTAATTTTCTCTAGCCATTTGATCTTCAGTATGGAGCGCAGACAGTTGTTGATAAAAGTCTGGAGTGGCCTGTTGGAAATGCTTTTCGTGACGCGCCAAGTTACTGACCCGTAAAGAAGGACTGACTTAACATTGGTGTTGAAAATCCCAATTTTTTTCTTTATGCTTAATGCCAAAGATTTCCATACCGATATTAGAGTGAGGAAGATTTGCCTTGTCTTTCCAATTCTGGTTTTGACATCTTCGTCTGTATCGCCTCTAGTTTAAATGATGCTGCCTATTTAAGTGAAAGGAGTGACGTTATGGGGCTTCTACAAAGTAGTATGCTATGGCCACTCGTATTAAGTAAATGAGGAATTCACAAGGATAGAGCGAGTAACCAAGTAGAAAATATATCTTTAATGATTTGTAAGGCTTTCTTTACCTATTGAATGATGAATGCCCTTCCGTTTGTTTGATTAGGTATTTCTTGCTCCACTTACCCTCTACCGTGCTTTAGAAATTAAAGGTCGGTAATTTGAGTAATTATTTCGATAGAAAAGTCGCTTTCTAAATTGGTGAACCCAACGTGATTCAATTTAGAACCAACCCTTATTTTCCAAAGCACGACAGAGGGCAAGTGGAGCAGGGAATACCCACTCAAACAAACAAAAGGGTATTCATCATTCAATAGATAAAGAAAGCCTTACAAATCATTAAGAAGATATAGTTCCTGATTGGTTACTCGTTCTATCCCTGTCAATTTCTCATTTACTTAATACATCTAAGTGGCTATAGCATACCATGTTGTAGAGGCCCTACAACGTCTCGTATTTATTCCACTGATAGTGATTGGTGCTTGTTGTTATTGGTCAGTTATCTTCATCACCTCTGTCTTCTCTCTCTCTCTCTCTCTCTCTCTATATATATATATATATATATATATATATATATATATATATACATGTATATATATATATAGTACTAGTAAAGTGAAAATTTTTGAAAGTTGTCACCTCAAGCTGACAACAATTTTCTAACTCTACAAATTATAGTATAAAAACGGAAGAAATTTGAAACATGTCTTTTGGCAATATAACTCTATTAGGTGAATAGGAAGGAGTAAGATACCTGTGTAATGTAATATACAAGGATACTGCAGCCTTGTTCTAACTAATCTCTATTTATTTTGTTAATCTTTTTTAAACAACAATGTGTTGTATAAAATGTAAATTTGGCAATTATATATTCCATATGTTTTTAAAAATATCAAATTTGTACATGTTAATGTGTTGATTTGTTTGTTAATGGGTTGTTTTGTTTTCTCTCTCTCTCTCTCTCAGGGTAAACCTGCTATTGCTCATCGTGATTTAAAATCTCGAAATATACTAGTTAAAATGGATGGTGAATGTTGTATTGGAGATTTAGGTTTTGCACTGAAATTAGATTCAACAATGAATTCTGCACTGGAAGTTAATCTACACTCAGATCGTGTTGGTACAAAACGGTATATGGCACCTGAAGTATTAGATAATACAATACGTTTAACAAGTCCTGAAGCATTTAAACAAGCTGATATGTATAGTTTAGGCCTAGTGTTTTGGGAAGTTACACGACGATGTTATGTGCATAATTTATTTGGACCAGATGAATATCAATTGCCTTATCAAGTGAGTAATTTTCGTATGTTTTATTCTTCGTCTTTCAAATTTTTTCATTAATCGCGAATATATTTATATATATATTTTTTTCCTTCACGTTCCCCAGTGGAACATAGGGCTTCAAGCTAGTGGCTTGAAGTTTCGGTAGCAGTGTTTATTTTACAAGATGGGGTTGCTAGCCTCATGCCCAACCTTTCCCCTTTACCAGCTTTTTATTTCTGGCTTAGCGAGGAAAAGGATTGCGTCAGTGGCCGGGGATCGAACCCCGGACCATGTTCATGGTCGGCGAGCGTCCTAACCGCTATGCCATCAACATTAATCGCGAATGCTTATATCTTACTTAACTGTCCGTCGGAATCTCTCTAAACTACGTAAATACATCCATTGTTAAAATTGTAGTCAAGAAATCGCTTAAAATTAATAATAATAATAATAATAGCATCTTTATTCTGGATAGTGTTTATAAAATGTATAGAATTCTCAGAGGAGCTTATTGCATGATGTTTTCCTTTCGCACAATATCTTCAAGTAAAATAATAATTGACAGTATATCCTGTGATACAACGATCTCTGAGCTGAACCACAAACCATTCCATTTCGATATATCTGCTTTGTCTCCTTCAAGAAATCCACGATATCTAGTTGAAAGCCAACTGTAAGATGTTCAGAAGTACATTTTGAGATCCAAATACATAACTGAAGAACAGTTATCTCATGTATTGGAACACGTTGCCACCCATAATCAGGCTTTTCCTCGATTTTAATTAGGAACTTTCAAATCAGAAGCTTGTATACACTTAAATGCCCAGAAGAGTAGATAATACCATTACCGGTGATATCTTAATCGATTAAAACAAACCAAAAAAACAGTAGAGAGATAGAAGTTTTGGTAGCCCAGGTTTTAAGCAGGTAGCCAGTGCGAAGTAAGATTTATTAGCTCTAATTTTTTTTACTGAGACTTTACAGTTTAGTTACAGTTTGAATCCACTAGTTGTTTTTAAAGAAAAAATTGAGTTCTGCGTAAACAAACGAGTATTTGACTGGGGGGGGGGGAGATGCTGCATAGTCATCTTTAAGTGTAACAACTTGTTTTGAGGATAAAAGTAGGTTTGATACTCATTGCATAATAACAAAGCTTTACAATTGAAAATTCTATATTTTAAATGGTCATTGCTTATGAACTCTTTCGCAGAGAAAATCACAAAAATATATGTTATGTTGTATGCATATTCGACTTTAGGAGTAAATCTACAGGAAGACTTAGTTTTGTTCATGTCGATGTACATCAGTCAGATTGTGGTGCATTATATGTCTAATCTTAAGGAAGTTCAGCTCTTTATATCGAATTTTATTCGATGTATTAAGTTGAGAGGTTTCCTTATTCACAAAAGATTGAGCAATTATTCACTACTCTGTTTCTCAAAACTATCCTGCTGGGTAGATGTCGCGTTTTAGATATGATCACTCACTGATCTATCGTGAATTTTATGTCGTAATTTCTATACAGAACTTATTTTCTTGTTTTCATAATCAATATCAGCAAAAGTTAAGCAATTATCAGTTGTAAATTTTATGAAGAAGACTGTTAAGAAACCTTTCGACTTGATACTTCCAACAATATAAAGCTGAGACACAGTTTTTAAGTTTGTTCACGGATTAATATCAGTTAGAGAACCATTGAATAACAGTGAATACTGGAGAGTTGTTTCCTCCTACTTTGGGGCTGTCCAGCACTACGCACCCAGAACCTTCAGATTGCAAGGCGAGCTCGTTGATCATGCAGCGACTGGGACGGAGTTCACTGGTCCACCAGTTCTAACTTCTGTCAATTCGCGATTTTTATCGCCACTGTCACCGGTGAGTACTTGTCCTTACACCCAACCTGGTGGACCCAACTGATCATGACTTCTCATTAGCAGTCCAGGTAGCTTCATCCTGTAGTCAGTAACTAGTGGACATCAGATTAATTCCCAAGTGTTGGAATTTTTTTGGCACTTGTGATATATTTTTGCTATGATATAGTGGGACATGATGGTTGCAAGTATTTGTTTTCTGTTTTCCGTACGTTTTTATTTTTTTTAAATGCAACTGTAAGTCACCTAATCATACTATCTCAGAATTTCAGTTATTCAGCTACTCCTCTGTTAGACAATAAACATTTGTAAAATGAAATTTATACTCAAGAAGTTTGATTTTTTTTTTCACTTAGCTTATCTCCTTCTCATTAGGATAAACTGAGTTAAGACAAACAATCCACAGACATGGATTGTATCATGTGAAATATTAAATCATCAGTGGTTTACTTTATCTTCTTGCATTTGTTGTTTCAGTAGCACATGTAATAAAAAAATAGATTAGAAGGGTCACAAAGAAAAGGATAGAGAATCAGTGTGCACAACTGTGAATAAATAATTAACAGTCCATTAACCTTAAGAATGTTTCAGGTAGTTTTATTATTAATCAATAACCTGCACCTTCTCTTCCAATTAAGTGTGAATTATCTGGGTAGCCAGTGTGATGATAGGCAGATATTAACCTATCATTCATTTGCATGACAACTGAGCATTACTCGTGATCACTCCAGTGAGCTACTGAACTGGTTGGTCTTCGATTCACCAAACCATGTCTTTATTTCCCTATATATATCTGTTATGGATAATGCATAAAGTTGAAATGATAAACCTGGGTAGCTGTAGGTTTCATACCAGTATGTTACTTTGTCGTATTGCTGAGGTCTCTTAGTTCAACTGGTATAACGCCAGGCTAATGATGGACAGAGAGCACCGGTTAGAATCCTGCCGTGATCCAGATTTTCATTTCACCTGTATTCATCATTCAACTAGATTGATAACAGTTTGCAAACTCGAGACTGTCTCAGGTAGTTTCATAATCGAATGATTACTATAGGCCGCATTTTTCTTAGTAACTAAACTTAACCACTGTGTCATCGATGCTGATTAGTAACGTGACAATTACATTTTGGTCGAAGTATATATATATGTATATATATAATTTGTAGTTATCTAGCCTCTCTTTCTGATGATAACATTCAGTTTTGTTTATCACTCAGTTTGCATTTATTTTCGTAAAAAAATAATGTTTTATAAACGATTGGACTATCACCTATAATATTAGTAACAACTAACTTTTTTGGGGTTACAGCTGAAGAAATTTCGTTTGTCTGTCTCCTCAAATTTGTCTCCATTTCTTTTGCAATAAGTCAAAACTCCAAGTTATTTGATGGACGGTGATCAGCAGTGGAATCCGAGACGTACATTTCGTCCTGTTTGGGATTCGTCAGCTAGATGTACCTGCATATCCTAGTGAGTAATGGTGTTCCCATTGGGACATGAACCTAGTACCCATCGCTTCAGACACCGAAGCGTTATCCACTAGACTGCTTGGGCAACGGAAACTACCTCTTACAGTTACATCTAGCTGATGAGTCCCAAACAAGATGGAATATGCATTCTGGATTCCACTGCACCACCAAATCACTTCAAGTTGATCCCCCAGACATCATGGAAGCACCCGTACTAGGAGCTCATATGTCAACATTTCGGTCCAGTTAATCAAAGGAAAAATCGAATTAGAAATATGTTAAAACTCCACCTTTACTCTTTCTTACATGGGGAATTAGTTGACCTGTTGTTTTGATTTTTGAACAATTTGCTTGTTGTTGTTACTCTACACTTTTCCCTTTATCTGTCTTCCGTATCACAGTAGTTTCATTCATACTTTCTGTATTGTTACTACTATTATTATTGTTCATTGGTTTGTGCAAATGAATGCCTTAGAGAGAGAAAAAGTAAAAAAGGAATTGTTTTGTTACGTAATATGATTGATACTGCCCTGTTCCCTCTCTCTGTCTAGCTTGCTCACTCGTTCGCTCATCGATGCATATACCCACCTACCTATGCAACTATTAACAAATAGTCAGAAAAGGAGCCAACTATCTTTTTATTGGTTGCTTGCTTACTACTACTTAACTAAGCGAAAGTAATTTCTCTGTATGTATGTGTGTGTGTATGTGATCATAGTAATTATGCGTAGGCATGATTGCATGCTTACCACGCTTAAGTGGACTGCTAAACCTGAAGGCATATCAAACAAACACTTCCATATCTGTTTATCTCTTTGTGTTGTTTACATGCATTATTCGATTGTCTTTTGTAAGACAAAAAATTGATTGCCTGTATATATATATATATGATTGAACTATTGATTATCATTTTTTCTGTTCCTGTTTTCTTTTGAATTATTGTTTCATTAGTAGAAATTTTACCGGTTATTTTATGTGTGTATGTATTTTTTTAAAAATTTTATTCTTTTGAGCTGTGAGTGGAACATAGGGTTTGAAGCTTCAGCTTTGAAGTTTCCGTAGCAGGGGGTTTATTTCTACTAGGTATGGTCGCTAGCCTCATACTCAAGCTTCCATCTTTGCCAGACTTACCACCAACTAAACATGGTTTGCAGCTGCCTCGTCTAGGGATTGAATCCCGGGACCACATGGATGGTTGGTGAGAATTCTACCGCTGCACCGCCGACGTACATTACATATATGTTCATTTCATGGTTTTTCTTTCCTCTGTCCCTCATTTATTCACACACTGTTTCCCTGCATCTCCAACTTCTCGTTTACTTCTGTGTTCCTTTGTACATGCAGTTAGTAGGTAGTTAAACCATGCGCATAAATTGTACTAGGGTAGGGATGAACTTGTTATTTACAATATGCTACTATTGGTGTTATACATCATCTGTGCGTGTTTACTTGTCAATACTCATATATATATATATATATATATATATATATATATATATAGAGAGAGAGAGAGAGAGAGAGGTGGGGATTTTTTATTACTACCGGTGTCTTATTACCATCAGTACGCGTGTGCATGCCCATGCATGCTTGCAGACACGTGTGTTTAGGTTAAAGTTCTGAAGAAAGGAGTTTGGCGGTAATCTGTGTGTGATTTACTTAGCCAAACGATGACTAATTCTAGAGTTAT